CTTTTATCATATAATCTAGTTTTTCAACTATAGCTCATAAGCTCGAAGCTATAAACTCAAAAATTACTGAAAATCCATAAGCTCAAAAATTACTAGCTTACAACTAGTTTTACCAAATATAGCCAAGTTATAAACTATAAGCTATAAGTTCTAATTACTGATAAGCTATAAACTAGCTTATCAACTATCAGTTAGCTTATCAGCTAGTTTTACCAAACATAGTCTTAGTCGATATCAGTTAGATCTAACGGTTACATAACTTTATGTATTGACACATGTCCAAAGTGTATTTATTGCAGGACATGTGTCAATACACTATTTGTGGATAACTGTGGATGACTCTATAAGTCGAGTCATCCGATGGCTCCATAGCAAAACTGACGTATCATATATGTATGTAATCATTTATCAATAATTCAACCCAAAATCTATGTCATGGGACTCGAAGTCAGAAATCATTTCTTTGTGTTGAGTTATTTTAAAGATAGTACTGGATTTAACTTGCATAAGAAAATACTAGTAGGAGTTACTGTGCATTTGCACAAATATATAAAAATATTAAATATTATATTTTGGTATATGTTAGCATACAAGACTTACATGGCACGTGATCTTTCCCCTATAGCACGAGCTGGACGTACTGCATGTGCAATGCATGAGAGCCTCTTCATTTTCCTTTTACTTTTGTTTGCTTTTGCTGCCTTATATTACAAGTGTATGGTTGAGATTGTTTCTCTTTCATGTGTGGTTAGGATTACATGAGATTAGGGTTCATTTTCTATATATAGGCAAACCATGTATCAGATTTATGAAACATTGAAAACAGCACTCTCTTCTTCGAGCTTAAGCTCCATTAATGGCTTTTATGATGAAGCTTTGTCTTTTCTATCATGGTATCAGAGCAGGTTGATCCTGTCTCTGATACGTCCCTTTCTTTTCTTGTTTCTTGTTCAACCTTATCTCAGCTATGTCAGATTCATCAGGATTTTCGAGCCATACACACACCACATATTTATCTTCACAGCTTCAAGTTGTGTATTCCCAAAACCAGCTGTTGACCATTAAAATTGATGAAGGAAATTATCTTATTTGGAAGCAACAAGCCCTCATCACCATCAGAGGCTATGGTCTCGAACACTTCATCAGTGGAGAACAACAACCTTCTCAGTTCATCGAGCAACAAGGAAATCATGTCCCAAATCCAGAATTTGTCACATATCAAAGGCAAGACTAGATATTGGCATCTTGGCTTCTCTCTTCCCTCTCAGAAGGTCTGTTGGTTCAGATGGTAGGCTTGCAAACCTCCAAGGAGATCTAGAGTGCTTTATCTACAATTCACAAGTCAGTCTTTAGCCAAACAAATGCAATACAAACTTCAGTTACAGACCATGAGGAAGGGAAATCTGAGCATGAGGGAATTCCTCAACAAAATGAAAAGCTGCTTTGATATGCTAGCCTCTATTGGAGCAAAAGTAGCAGATAAAGATCAGATCCTCCACATCATCTTAGCTCTTGGAACAGAATATGACCCTGTCATGATAACTGTAACCTCAAGAATGGACACTTGGTCAGTTATGGATGTTCAAGCTTTACTCCTAAGCTATGAGTCTAGACTTGAGTCCACTGGAGCTATCAACCTCAACAATGGATCTGGTAACATCAATCAAGATGGATCTCAACCTTCCTTGAATCTGGCTCAGAATCCATCAAGAGGTACTATGAACAAAAGATAATATTGAATTAAATCAGTTGTCCATTATGGTGGCCGCCCCAGCCACTTTGTTATATATTATATTATATAATATGTTGTTATCTTTAGCATTATTTAGTCTTTG